ATCCGGAAACTTGGAGTTCGCTGTTCCCCAGGGAGTGAGTGCGGAGGCTGGGGGCCTGGCAGTGGGGACTGAGAAGCCCTTAGACCCTTGACCCTTAACATAGGACTTCAAGCCTTTGGCCCTCTACATCAAATCTCTAGTGCTTATAACCTGTTCTTGCTTGTGTAACCCAGCACTGAGTTTCCTTCCTCCTCTCTCTTCCAGGCTGGTGGGACCAGGAACTCTACTATTAGAGGGACTGCAGCCCTTCAGTAATCTCTCCACCTACTAGCAGCATGATGGAGATGAGACTTATGGGCGGCCACCAAAACATCTACACAACTGATTCCCAGCCCTGGCTGTACCCACTTCTGCAGCCCATACACCCCTCTCACCCTCTTGGAGCAGCCACACCCCAGGCAAGACCTCTGAGGTGGGAGGGTTAGACTAAGGAGTTGGCAGTTACTCTGATGTATGCCCATCCCAAGCACTCCATCTGGACAGAAGGTTGCCTGGGGGCTGTTACATACCCCTCATGTTCTGCTGGACAGTAATAAAACCTGACACATCAACTGTGCAGTCACATGTTTACCAGTACCCTCGCCTTCCCACAAACCTACCACAGGGCTGCAGTGTCTGTAGGGACTAGGGCAGAACTTGGAGTGGAGTAGGGATTCAAACAGATTCCCTTGGGGAAATTACTTCCCATTTCTTTGCCTAAGGCACCAAAACTTAAAGACAAGCTGGGATATGACCTCAGATACCATCCAGAACATGGCCTTGAATCATTCCACTACCCCTTGAGCCCTGTATGGGGTATTCTCAGTAGCAACCCCCTCTCCAGCTTCTTGGCACAGGGATCCAAACATCCACAGCAAGCAGCCTGTTGCCAGGGTCCACAGGGTCATCTCGGATTCCATGTGCTGGCACCTGTGCCCTTGTGTCCTTACCAAATCATGGGGGTTCTCCCACAAACTCCTGCCTCCTGAAGAGCCAGCTCCTCCAGTTGCTGGGGACACCCCATCCCCTTCCCTGGGAACCTCTGTGTCAGGAGCTTGTTTGTGCTTCCTGCTGGCTGCCCTACCCCCACCCCTCAAGCCCTCACCTCTGTCATGCCCACATCTGTCTCCAGCCTCTCCTGCTGGGATGGAGGTAACTCACACTGGCCTTTCTAACACTCTCAAACCTGCTCCCGTTTGCTGTCCAGTCTCCCTGACACAGGGTGGGTCTCCCTGGGAAGTGTGGGAGGCTCTTGGGAGCTGTCAAGCCCCAGTGAATGGTGTCCTGGACTCTTGCTCCTTACCTGTCACCTCCCCACTTAGCCTACTACCAATTAACAAAACCAATCAGCTCACTGTCACTACCTCACTTCTAGGCTTCAAGCGACTTCAATACTCTGCTGAGGGACTCTTCCACCCAGGTCTTCTGGCTTGTCTCTTTCCATATCACCACCATGCACAGCTTCCAAAACCCCAAACCAACCCCGGTAAAACTCCCACTGCCCTGGTCAACATCCTAGCCAGCCAGCAGCTCTTGGCCCTGCTACTAGACTATGTCTCAAGCCCTGCTGATCTGGAACCAAAGAGTCTGATGCATCCCAGAAGCCAGGCCATCAGTCCTACCCAGGCCTTTCCATCCGCTCCCACACTTCCTTTTCTGCTTGGCCACTAACCAATCCTTTAGAACTTAGCTGACACGTCCTTCCCTAGCACCCTCCTACCTACAGGTTGGGTAAAGTAGTTTCTGTAAGGTAGTTCCAGTAAACCCTGTTTTCCATCCAGACCTCTAACCACAGCCCCGGCTTCTCCTTTAGGACCCTGGTTAGTTCCGTCATCTCCATGAAGGGACAGGCAGGCCTCAAGACAGGGGTGTACCAGAAACTGATCCCAGAGTACATCCAGTGTGCACCCCATCCACTTTCTGTCCATGCAAAGTCAAGGACATTCTTTACTCTCAGTACACAAAGCTACTGGGGATACTCAGGGCACCGAGGAAGGGTCAGGGAAGGAGGTAGGCCCATGTGATGGAAAAATGTGCCTTCTGTAATCAGACAGTCATGCCGGGCCTACAGAAAGTGTCCTTTCCTATGTCTAAGGTTAAACAACATGCAGAATCTTAAGAGCCCAGTGACAGTGGAAAGACCAAGGCCGAGAAGCGCCTTCCCAGGACTGTAGGCTTTCCATCGAGGTGGAGCTTAAATGGACATTCAAGGCCTTGGTTCTGACATCCTTCTCAGGAAGACAGAGTGGATGGAGCAAAGGCCTAGCCCAATGGCCCACAACAGGCATGATCATCGTGGTGGAATCAGTATCTAGGGCAGTATCCAAGTTGGTGGGCTCGGGTGCTATGTGGCTATTTAGCTGACTCAGAACTCCACCTTAAGAGACTCAGGCCAGGATTTAAGCTGAAGGCTGCAGAACTGAGTCGAAGCATGGAGAAGCTCAGAATCAAGGAACTCTTCATAGTGGCCTATGGCTTACATGATTATAGGAATTTGACTAGGGAAATCATTCCAAGGAGCAGCTCTAGATATATCAAGGGCAAGGGCATAGACTACTATCAACTGTACAATGAAGCACCAGAGTTACAAGCCGAGGATGGTGACCTAGTTAGACAGGTTTCAAATCAGCCCCCTAGCTGTCACACAGCGGATGGATCAGAGTGGGTAAGGAGGGGCTGAGTGTTGGAGGTAGCCAACCCAGGGAAGGCTCCACATGGAAGAGGGCTCCGATCAAGCTGGAAGGAGAGGAGGAATTCTCCTCCACCCAAATCCTCCTCTCCAACTCTAGTGTGCCCATTCCTTAGCTTATTAAGCAATTATCAAGCCCTCAAGCACCCATGGGGAAACCAGGTCTGGCCAGCTTGTCTCCCTGTTTCCAAAGCCAGACAGGCTCTGTGGGACCTAAGTGACGTAGTCCTAAGATTCATTTCTGAGAGAGAAATGGACGCACAAAAAACTTTCCAAACACCGTTTACTTCACTAAAATCTGGAGAGAGGCAGCGAAAAGGTACATCAACACCTGGGCCACCAAGCTAGGAGTGTACATTGACAACAGCAACATACAGGGCCAGGGTGCTAAGGGCCAGCAGTCCTGTCACTACTGCCCGGGCCAGCAGTGCTGTCCAGCTGCCCAAGGAACAAAGATGGACAAAGGTCCTGTGGGGAAAAAAACCACAATGAGGAATGGAAAGAGAAAACACCCCCCCAATTGAACCCAGCCTCAAACCCCAGCCGGCTCACTCCATGACAAAGGCCTTGTAGACACTAAGAAACATCAAGAAGAGAACTGCAGGCCGGAAGGTGTGGTACAAGTCATAGCGAGTTATCATCCAGACCTGGGCTGCTGCCACGATGTAGTGGACCTGCAGGAGGAGGGAAGGAAGTGGCAAGTGGGGCCAAGTTTGGGGGAGAAGTATGGTTAACAGCATAAAGGTGGGTACGGCCAAGACTGCATACCAGACTGATGTTGGAGTCAATGCTCATCTGGATGTATTTCCAGTCAAATTCAATGCCTCGGGCTCCCACCCAGAGAGGAATGCAGCTGAGGAAGGCAAAGGGAGGGGCTCTCTAGTACCCAGACCCCTAACACCCGCTCTGATCCCCACCCTCAGCACTCTGAGAGGCCCAGAAGCCGAGGCTCCAGGCTGCTCCACACACCGGGACATAATGAGCTCGGCAGTGGCCCAGCCCAGGGCAGCCACCATGATCTTGTATTCCCCCTTGCCTGCATTCCGCGACATGACAAGGTTTAGGCCTATCAGGTCTGCCACGTCCACACTGGCTTTCATGAATTCCTGTGGGTCGGGTAGAGACGAGTGAACACAGGGGCCAGGTGAACACACTCCTGCACTCCCTGCCCCTCCCGTGTCCAACTCACCCCAATGAAGTCATAGATGCCACCTTCCCAGGTGGGGAAGAAAGTGGCCAAGAACAGCATCTGAGAAAAGAAAGTGGGAAGGTCACCTGAAGGTGAGGGCAATAAAACTACGCGGACATTGTGGACAGTGATTGAGTTGCAAGAGGAGGGCTGAACGCTGGGTTCTGGGGTTATGCCGGGTGGAAGTGGCAAGATCACAAGAGCAGGGGGGACAGAGAGCAGATGCCCGGTTCCCGAGAAGTCTAGAAGTTCACATGGGAATCTGAAGTCTAGAAATGCCGGAGTGAAAGCATGCCGAGCGTAAGCAGCACCATGCGACACCCTGTGGGTGAAATATCACTTAGCCAACACTTAAGGGGGTTTCTCAGTTTTACCGAAAGTGCTAAGAAAAAGTTGCATCAAGGACTCTCCTGGGCTTCCACCCCTTCTAAGGTATTCGGGCACAGTCCCTAAGCTTTGTCTCGAGGGTGGTCCCATGGAGCGCAACAGCAGCAGATCCGGGTCCCTGAGGTCTGGAATGCCTGGAGGCCAAACACGTGGAGTCCCGGAGTCCCTCACCTTGCATAGCTGCACAAAGAGGTAGGTGACCCCGGCCTGGACACATTTCCAGAAGGCGTTGTACTCGGACCTGAAGAAGTGGGCGGTGAGGGGTCGGCCCAGGACCCGCACCCTCTCCGCCCCGCGCCCGCCCTGCACTCACAGGCCGCTGCACTTGTACGTGATGAAATAGGGAAAGTAGGCGAGGGCAAAGCAGTTCCCGAAGTGGAACAGGGTCATGACGCCGGCCGCCCGGTCCCGCCAGCGCGGAACTCCCCCGGCGGCGCCTCCTCTGGGCAAGGGGTCTCGGCCTCGCCGGCACCCGGGCCTGGCGCCCACCTGACTGCCGTGGCCCGCGCGCGGTCTTATGGGAATTGTAGTCCGGCCTGGCACGTCGCGCGCCATGACGTCAGAGCGCCCATCGCCTGCCCCGCTCCCGGGCTTCCAGAGCCTGACGCTGTTGAGGACTGGTGTTTCGACAGCACCTGCCCTCCATGGCAGAGGTGCGTTTGCTCTCCCTAAGTGGTACCCGGCTCGGAACCAAGCGCCACCTCTTTCTCGCCTATCCGAGAACCCGACCCCAAACGCACGGTGATCGGCGCAGAGACAAGAGGACGAAGCTGTGCGCGCATTGGTTTTTATTTCATTGTTGACTCCGCGGTGCCGCGAGAGCCACGCGACCTCCTTCTAAGGGGACCAAGAGGGGAGAATGTGAGGTGCGCGGAGAAGAAAGGAGGGGCCTTCCGGGTTACTTCTCCAGGCTAAACATGTAGCGGATGAGGTCGACCACTCGGTTACTGTAGCCATATTCGTTGTCGTACCTGGGGAGGGGAGGAAGGAGGCATCAGTGTGTGTGTGTGCCCTCCTGCTAGCCTCTCCCACTATCTTCCGGCATCTTTCCCCTTTACCAGGAAATGAGCTTAACGAAGTTGTCATTGAGGGCGATGCCTGCCCTAGCATCGAAGATGGACGAATGGGGATCGCCGATAAAGTCCGTGGAGACCACCTAGGTGACAATTTCAAAGATAAATGTAGCATGTAGCAGAGTAAGGACCTCCAGAAGCCCAGACTTGACTCTCAGACCACATTGTCATTCAGTCATCTGGCATATTGGATAGAGTTCTTTTGTGTTGGTGACAAGACGTCTCGGGGATTATCAGAAAAGACATAGGTTGGGGGGATGGTTCAGTGGGTAAAAGTGCTTGTCACATAAGTGTGAGCATCTGAGTTTGGATCCCCAAAGGCTGGGCATGTGGTGGACACCTGTAATCCCAGCATTCCAGATCCAGACCGAAGATCCCTGGGGCAAGATGGCTAGCTAGACTAGCTGAAATTGGCAAGCTACAGTTACAGCTTGCCTCAGTAAATAAGTGGAGTGAAATAAGACATGTCAATTTCATGCCTCCACACATGTATCACCACTGCTCAGTAAATAAGTGGAGTGAAATAAGACATGTCAATTTCATGCCTCCACACATGTATCACCACTGCTCATGTACCTGTACACATTTCCCCATGCATCCACACAGGTACACAGGGCGGGGTGGGTGGGTGGGAGGCACATGACTCAGACCACATTGTCCTAATGCTGTTCCAAGAAACATTACATGCAAGCAGTGGATGGCATGAGCCTGGGTCTTATGAGTAGGATCTTTGAAGTAGGAGCAGCTACTGGCACAGACTCAGGGTTGCAGCCCTTAAGGACACAGGAGGGTTTTTTTTGGCATTGGACTGATTTGATTTGAACCATTCAGATGACATCTTGGCACTTGAGGGCAGACCTGCAGGAACTGCAGGACTGAGATAACTTTTTTTTTTTTTTTTTGATACTGGGCCTCTTTGACGCTCTGGAACTTGCTCTGTAGACCAGGCTGGCCTCAAACTCACAGAAATCTGCCTGCCTCTGCCTCCTGACTGCTAGGACTAAAGGTGTGCATTCCTCCACCACCCCCGAGCCTAGCAGATGACACTTGTGAAGTCTGCTCCCAGGAAAGGTGTCTGACCTGGCCTAAACCCTGAGGAAAAAAATTTAAAAAATAAGAACTGGTGTCTTTTTTTCGCTAAGCGTGTATTAAGCACCTCTGTACTCCAGACCCTGGATAGTAAAAGCTCCATTGGGAGTTAGTTCTTAAGTTACTGTTTTCTTGGACAGCATGTGCTGTAGGTTACATGAGTGACTTCTGGTCATTGTGGTGAGGAAAAACAACATTGGTAGATCAAAGCAGCACAGTGTCAAGGCACACAGGCAAAAAGACCTACTTTCCCTGGCCTGCGGGTTTTGTGTGTCTATTTTTTGAGACAGGGTCTCATTATGTAACCTTGACTGGCCTGGAACTCAGAGACTCACCTCCTTGAGTGTGCTCCATGATGCCCAGCTGGCCTGTAATTCCTATTTTGGCCCATGCATAATAGTTCCATGGTGAGTGGGACTCCTCCTTCTCCCAGGGGTTCCCCTAAGGTTTCCTCAGTCCTTACCTGGTCCTCTGTGTAAGCAAGGATGCCAGCCAAAGGCCCTTTGGCTGCTGCTTTTACAGCCTCCTTGATAGCTGAGTAGGAGGCAGGCTGGGCCAGGCGGCAGGTCAGGTCCACAACAGATACGTTTGGGGTTGGCACCCGGAATGCCATTCCCGTTAACTTCCTGGAGAATTTCACAGTAAGGGTGGGAGTCAGAGCGCAGGGACTTCTGTTTCCATTCTCCCCTTGCCTTGGGACCTGTGAGGTCCTCCTCGGGTATGTCCCCACCCTGGTTACAGCATTGTATCCTCATACCCTTTGAGTTCTGGGATGACTTTGCCTACAGCACTGGCAGCCCCAGTGGAGGATGGGATGATGTTCTGGTGAGCACCGCGGCCACCTCGCCAATCCTTCTTGGATGGCCCGTCCACTGTCTTCTGAGTGGCTGTGTAGGAATGGACTGTGGTCTTGGGGAACAAGAGGATCAAGATGAAGCCTTCTTGCTCCTAAGCTCTCATTCCTCCTTCTTCTAGGACTTGGGAGGTGGTCTAGGTGTGGAGGCTAACAGGGCCACCACCACAGATCATAGGAAGGGTGCCTGGAGGCCAGGGCCTGTCCTTGTCAGAGCATTTCAAGGGGTGCCCTGCTGGTGGGCTTCCTTCCCAAGCCACTCTCCCTGCTAACTCCATACCTTAAGCAAGGCCCGGGAAGAAGGGGTTGGTCTCCCTGCCATCCTTTCTGCCCCAACTCACCATTAGCCCTTCCACGATCCCAAAGCGTTCATGAATAACCTTTGCGAGGGGGGCCAGGCAGTTGGTGGTACAGGATGCATTGCTGGAATGACCATGGTGTGCCAGATGAGTGGCAGAGCCACCTCCCCACCCTTACTCTTACTTAACCAGGTCTGGCTTTGTGAGATGTGAGGATGGAGGGGGGAGGGCTTCCTGGGGATGCCATGGGATGGGAATGGGAGTGCCATGAGATAAAGGAGCCATTGGAAGTGCCACTGGGGAATGCTACGTAGGCATGTCCTCTAGATACTGAACATTCCTAGTAGTTTCATGGTGAAATTAACACGAGGACTTGGGATTTAGGGACTGATAAGTGGGAGAAAGTTGATCTGAAAGACTCCAGAGATCTAGTGGAATTGGGGTGGGGAGAAAGTGTTCCCTGTGCTATGGCCTGGCATGTCTGCTGGTACCACCCACATGTTCAAGGATGGCTGTCAGCCCAGGTACCTGACAATGTTCATAGTGCCAGGGTTATAGTCCTTCTCATTCACACCCATGACCAACATGGGTGCATCAGGGGAGGGCGCAGTGACTACCACACGCTGGGCACCGGCTGTGATGTGTGCCTAGTGATAGAGTACAAGGGCTAGGGTCTCCAAGCACCACTGCCCCCTCTTCCTAGACAGGTATGGGCACTCTCCCCCACTCACCGAAGCTGCCTCCGTGGACAGGTATACGCCTGTAGACTCCACCACATAGGGACACCCTACGGAACTCCAAGGGATGTCTTTGGGGTCTTTGCTGTGGGTGGTGGGAAGGCTGGGTCAGTCTTCCTTGCTTGGGTATCAGGCAAGCCAAGAGGCGTTGGTGCCTTGACCTGCTAACACCCATCCCATAACTCCATTTGTCCCTGCCTGCTCCAGGTTGGTGCCCTCTTGCAGGCCACACCAATCACTCTCTCTTTCTTCTCCTTCCTTCCTTTTTTCCTTTTCTTTCTTCTTTTTTGGGGGGGCATTCGAGATAGGGTTTCTCTGTATAGCCCTGGATGTCCTGAAACTCACTCTGTAGACCAGGCTGGCCTCAAACTAAGAGATTGCTTCTGCCTCCTGAGTGCTAGAATTGAAGGTGTGTGCCGCCACTGCCCGGCAGCTCTTCCTGTCTTGTCTGCTAACCCTGCAGTGTCTAGACAGACTGACATCTTCAGCTCTGGCTCCCACACCCTCAGGAACTTCTCTGACAATGCCCAAGAGAGACCAGAACTGGCAATGCTCCTTTCTGGTCCCCAGCTCTGACCACTTCACGTGAACCCTTGTAGCCTTTTGCCGTCACCACTGATGTCCTTGGGAAGACCCCAAGGACAGACACCCACGTCAGACAACAGCTTGTGGGAAGACTGCAGTGGAAGGACCCTGTGGCCAGGCAGTGACCAGTCATCGACAGTAGGACACCCCCTCCCCCGAAGGCTTTCTGTTCCTCTCTTTTACAGTCTGCATTTTCACTTGGGTTTTGTTGGTTGGTTGGTGGTCATGTCTTACGTAACCCAGTCTGGTCTGCAGTTTCAGGGATCCTCCTGCCTCAGCCTGCCGAGTGCACAAGCACCATCATGATCAGTTTCGCCTTGATATTCCCCAAATGTTTTTATCTGAAACTTGTCAAGCACCCTTCCTTGAGTGCTTACTCCATCTGTGGGCTTGTCCCTCATGGAATTTATGATGTGACAGAGAGGTTTGTTCTTACAATTGCTTCTGGCTCTACTTCTGGATCATTCCATACCACATGACTGGATCTGTTTCTGCCATAAGAATTTAATCAATCAGTATCTAGTTAAACTTTTTTTTTTTTTTGAGACAGGGTTTTTCTGTGTAGCCTTGGCTGCCCTGGAACTCACTTTGTAGACCAGGCTGGCCTTGAACTCACAGAGATCTACCTGACTCTGCCTCCCAAGTGCTGGGATTAAAGACGTACACCACCACTACCTGGCTATATTTAAACATTTTAAAATAACTTATTTTAAGTCCTGTGTGTGTGTGTGTGTGTGTGTGTGTGTGTGTGTGTGTGTGTGTGTCTGTGCGCACGCGTGCGCGCATGTGTGAGAGAGAGGGGGTGGGGAGGAGAGGAGAGAAAGAGAGAGAGTTGCTGGATCCTCTGAAGCTGTAGTTTCAGGAGGTTATGAACCACTGTTGGGAGTTCTGGGAATTGAACTTGGGTCCTCTGAAAGGGCAATTTGTGATCTTAACTGCTGAGCTGTCTCCAGCACCGACTGATGCATATTCACTTAATTTTTGTGGTGCTGAGGACTGATGCCAGGCCTTTATACACAGAGGAGCATACTCTACTGCTGAGCTGCCTGCCTAGCCCCATCTTCTTCTTTTTAGTCACTCTGCACATGGACACTAAGCTGTCGTGAGCCTTCAGTCTTAGGTATTTATCTGTTAACCACCACTGTGTTCCTTTTTCAGAAACGCCCGTGTCAGGACAGCGGTGACAGCAGGCTGGGAGCACAGGCTAGCCAGCCCTAGGTTCTGCCCCCAGTTAGCTACAGTGTGGGAATGAATGAATGCACAAGTTCCCCTCTCTTCTCTGGACAACATGGCTCCTTTCTCCCTCTGCTCCATCAGCCCACACCATTCACCGTCTGGCCCAGGTAGCCTTTATCTGATGCACTCGTTTTCTGGCTTTCAAGCTAGGAGTACTTCAATTCCTGAAACAATACTTGAGTTGGCCCAGCCCCTCATGCCTACAGGTCTGGTCTGAAGATTCGTTCACTCAGTTGCATGGGTGGGAAGGCAACTGTATTGTATATTCTGTTGGCAGGTTGTCACGTGCTGTTTGGGCTCACTGAGAAGCTGGCTCAAGACCCAAGCATGTTTATGTTAAACGTTCTTCAAGACCCCTTGTCCAGGGATGGACTGGCCCCTCTCCTCTCTGTGACAGAAGAGAAGAGACCAGTAAAATAGCCCAAGGGTAAGAGCACAGTCCCTGAGAACGGAGGTTGCTAGTGTTTATCCCTTGGTACACAAGCTGTGCCATGAGAGAAAGCTGTCAAGAGCTCTGACCTCCACTTCCCCAGTCATTCTCTGCTGGGTGTTGTGAGCCCTTGACTAGACCATGTCTCATCGCTCTCTGTTACTGTCTGTTCTTTTACTTAGAAGCTCCACCAGCCCTGCCTGGGAACTGAATCTTCTTGGGTTATCCCCAGTTGATTTCCACCAGATGTTTTGAGCACTTGATTTGACATTTTGCTATCTATCTATCCATCCCTTGCTGTTTATTTTTTGACTTTGGCTTGCCATATATAATTTATAAACTTTTTCAAAACTGAAAGTGTGGCTATCAGGCCATTCATTCTCCAGCAGTATGGGAGTGGGAGTGTTGTGGGGAGTGGGGGGGGGGGCAGCGCTGGCAAATGCCCAGACAGATGCAGAGGGACTTAGGGTGATTGATAAGCTGACCCACTGGAATTGCTCTTGGGGTCATGATTTCAAACTCAGGGCAAGCAGCTTCTGTTTTCCCGGACACCCTAGTACCTACCTCCCGTCAGTCCCTCCAAACTTAGTTATACCTCAGTAAGTTAAAAGGGAAGCTGTGAGTGTTCTGCCTGAGCAGGAGCCAGAAGACCTTGCATGGGGCTACAGAGGGTTTGTTTCTTAGGGTTTGCAAGTAACATGTCATTGTTTATTTTTCCTGGAGACAGAATTTTATTATGTAGCTCCAGGCTAACCTAGAACTTGAGTAATCCTCCTGTCTCAGCCTTCCAAGTGCCTGGGTTATGAGTGTATACTCCACACCTGGCATGCTACTGTCTGATATATAGATTTTGAATCTATCTGCAAATTATGGGACATCCCATCAGCAGAAGCTGTGTGAGGTAGGCACTATGAAGTTGACCTTGCTTATGTGTAAGAGGTGCAGGCCCAGGGTCCCCAGAGGTGATGACCAGGGTGGCAGATGAGGCACAGAGAGATTGCAGGGTGGGATGCATAGTGCATGGTGTACACTGGGAGCTGGAGCCTTATTTGGGGTGCTGAGGAGCATGGGGGGTTAGGTGGAGGATTCAAAAGGCTTCAGGGGATGCTGGGTAGGAGCTGGATCAATTGCCATAGAGAGGGGGGTGGTTGATGGCTCAGGGGAAGCAGGAGACAAGGCACAGTTAACCCATATACCCAAGAGAACACCTGCAGATGTGTGTTAGATACAAAACACTAAAGAACCATGGGCTGTTCTTAACTGTTGTAGGAATCAGAGAGCTTCCCGAGACCCTCTCTCTAAACAGTACCTAGAGGCATGCACATATAGTTTAGCTGTAGCATGGGATGACAACCTCCCCACTTCATGGTGTGTGAGACATTCAGGCCTTACCACTGGTACACTTGGATCTCAGTGTTATCCACAACTAGTCTTCCATCCTTTTGTTCCACGCTTCCTTTGTATCTCCCATGCACAGAGTCATATTTGAACATGTATACCTGCAGTAGACAGAACAGGGTCCTCATCTTAGGTGGCAGAGCCAGCAACCCCAGAGAAGTCCCCACCTTGGGGAAGATTCTGCAAGGCTTTCCATACAGCTCTTGGAACCCTCTCCCCAACTCAGGTGCCACTCTTGCTGGTCCCTCTCTCCACCTGCTACTTACCATGTATTCTGGGTCAATGAATGGATCGTTCACTGCCACCACCTTAATGCCCTTCTCCATGCAGACTCGCAACACCAGACGGCCAATGCGTCCAAATCTGTCCAAGCAGGAACATATAAAATAGGGCATGGGTATGGGAGCAGGGTGACAGGGATGTCATGGTGTCAGTGTCCCATCAAGTTCATGTTGAACTTTGAACCATTGCGCGTATTAAAAGGATGGAAACTGAGGGCTGGCGAGGTGGCTCAGGGGGTAAAGGCGCTTGCTGCCGAGCCTGACATTCTCAGTTCTATCCTTGGGACCCACGTGGCGGAAGAAGAGACCTGACTCCTGCAAGTTGTCCTTTGACCTACACACGAATACATGCATGCACACACACACACAAACACAGATCATTTCTAATCCTCTCGTGGTATTAAGTTTAAATTTAGTTCGGAGGGTGGGGCCCCTAAGGTGGTGTTAGTGGCTTTATGAGGAGAGAGACCCGGAAGCTGGCCCTGACTCTATCGGACATGCCGTTAGTGCACTTAGGACTCTGCAGAGTCCCCACGGGTGAGGAGGCTCCCACCAGATGCTTCATCCCAATGTTGGACTCCCCCAGTCTCTCGACTGTAAGAAATCTCTTTCCTTTGAAATGACCCAGTATCAGGTGTTGAGGGATAGCCACTGAAAACAGACTGAGACATCATGAAGCTCTCTCAAGGGGTCTAGGTCCTCGGTGTGGGTGTGGGAAGCGGCCACTTCTGTGTGTCTCATCTCTTGTCCAGGTGAGATTGCTCAGCTCTTAACCTGTACTTCCATTTCCCAGCCCCACCCACCCCGTTCATTCATTTCCTTCCCTCCTCCCCTCCGCTCCCCTCCCCTCCTCCCCTCTTCCTCTCTCCATTCCTTTTTATTTTCTATTTTCATTTTTATTTGTATTACTTTCGTGTGTGTGTGGTGCCGGAGACCAAACCCAGGGCTTTGCGCACGCTAGACAGTACTCTACCACCAATTTATATACCTTCACCCTCACCCCCTGTACCTCCTTTGTTTTTCTGTTTGAGACAGGGTCTCACTGGGTAGCCCTGGTTGGCCTGGAACTCGCAGAGATCTGCCTGCCTCTGCCTCTGCCTCTGCCTCTCTCGACACTCTCCTCTCTGCCCCTCTGCCTCTGCCAGGATCAAAGGTGTGTGCTATTCCTCCCAGCCTCCAGCTCCTTTTCATATTGTTTTGTTCTGTATTTTTTGAGACAGGATCTCACTCTGTAGCCCAGACTAGCCTGGAACTCGCAATACATAGCTCAGGTTGGCCTTGGATTTGGGAGTCCTGCTTTAGCCTCCCTAGTTGCTAGTGTTCTAGACACACCACCATACCTTGCTAATGTCCCGTTCTCATTCCCATAGCTGGGTGGATCCAGGGAAACTTCACACCTCTCTGTGTTAAATGAGAGCTATATTCCTTACCATCGTGCCTCAGGTCTTAAAGAACTCTCTACCCCCACCCCCACCCCAATTGTCCTTACAGCTGTGCAGATTTCCTGCTGTCTCTGAATATACGAAGCATGTCCCTCCCATGCTAGGACACTTGCTTGCCCCACGACCTTGAGGACTTTCCGCAGTGGAGAGACTGGTGACTTTTGTCACTTAGCCTCACTCCCATGTCTCTTCCCAGAGGTTTCCTGTGGCCAGCCTTTGCTTCCCTCCCGGGCCTTGGTGAGGTCTCCACTGCAGCCTCGAACTACCTCGGGCCTGTATCTGAATACTGTCTCCTAGAAGTGAGTTCTCCAAGGACTGACTTGCCCTTGCTGGCCCAGTGAGAAGAGGGAAGATGCCCCCAGCCCATGGTGACCGGAGGAGGCCACAGTGTCAGCCTCTGGGGCTGGCTCCAGCATCAACTCAGGTGAGGTAGACTCACCCATTGATGCCCACTGTTAGCTCTTTCATTGGCTTTTTGGGCGGTGGAGGAATGGGAGGTGCTTCTTTGACGGGCTCTGGCCGAGGAGGTGGTGGTGGCGGCGGTGGATTCTCGACCTTAGGTGGCAGCTCCTCAATTTTGGGCTCAGGTGGACATGGTGGGGGTGGCGATCTAATCACTGTGGGGAGCAGAGAGGGTCCGGAAAGGGGGTGGTGAGCTGGGTCACTCCATTCAGGATATGGGGATGGATGAGATGGTGTAATGGGTAACTGTCCCTACCGCTCCTGACCTGAGTGTGAGTCCTGGGATCCTGATCTCCGCCTCCACACACGTACAAATGTGTGAGAGTGCCTCCCATATGGGAGCATTGCACACAGACACACAGACACACACACAGACACACACACACACAAATGCCAATTTCTTTTTTCTTTTTTAAAGAGGAGAAAGTTTGGCTTTCTAGGGGCCAGCTGCGTGGCCTAGTGTCTCTTTCCCAAATCCCCCAAGCCAGAGAACAAGAGAGAGCACCGAGGTCAAAACGTGTGCCAGGTAGCCAGGTGTGGCGGGGCACATATTTAATCCCAGAGAATCTCCGTCAATTCAAAGCCATCATAGTCTACAGAGTGAGTTCCAGGACAGCCAGGGCTACACAGAGAAACCCTGTCTCAAAAAACAAAACAAAACAACCCCACAAGGTATGTGCCGGGATCTCTCCCTAACTTCAGGTTCAGTGTGTGAGTGTTTAGCAGTTACATGAGGACGTATTTTCTGTGATTCAGTTTCTTACTCTGTGAAATGAGGATAAAATATCCCACACATATTATATCCCTCGCTGTCCCTTTCTTTCCCTTCCTCCTTCGTGAGACAGGGGCTAACCCAGGCTGGACTCAAGCTGTTGGTCCTTGTGCCTCACCCTCCACAATGCTGTGACTACAGTTGTGGGGCTTTACAGCCCCCCCCCCCCCCCCCCGTTTCAGTGCCGGGGTAAATCCAGGGCCCCCCAACCTGTTAAACAATTGCTCGCCTACTTCGGTACACAGCACTCTTACATGTTAATATTTCAAAGATGATTTCTTGATCTGATAATAGATCTAGTTCTGTGAGCTCCAACCTATTCTAAAGATAAGACTCACCCAGGGAGGCCTCTTTCTAGAAAAATCAGACTTAGTTGGGCAATACTGAGGCCCAAGAATATTTTCTCTCCTCTTCCCTCTCTCCTCTCCTTTCCCCTCCCCTCTCCCCTCCCCTCCCCTCTCTCCTTTCCTCTCCTCTCCCCTCCCCTCTCTAGGTCTTAAGACCTGGCTGCCTTGGGCCCCTCTGAGATGGTACTGGGACGTGAGGCTCCCCGGGGCTGGTTATATCTCCAGAGCCTTTGATGATGTCACATTGTCCCTCCCCTCCCCTCTCCTCTCCCCCCTCTCCTCTCCTCCCCTCTCTTCTCCCCTCCCCTCTCTCCTCCCCCTCCCTCTTCCTCCCTCTCCTCCCCTCCCTCTCTCCTCCCCCCTCCCTCTCTCCTCTCCTTCCTTCCCCTCTCCCCCCCCTTCCTCTCTCCCCTCTCTCTCCTCTCCTCTCCCTTCCTCTCCCCTCTCTAGGTCTTAAGACCTGGCTGCCTTGGACTCCTCTGAAATGATACTGAGGCATGAGACTCCCTGGGGCTGGTTATATCTCCAGAGCCTTTGATGATGTCACAATGTCCCTCTCCTATTTCCTCCCCTCCCCTCTCACTCTCCTGTCTCCTCTCCCCTCCCTTCCCACTCTCCCCTCCCCTCTCCCCTCCCCTCCCACTCTTCTCCCCCCTCCCTCCCCCTCCCCCCACTCTCCTCCCCCCTCCTCCCCTCCCCCTCTCCTCCCCCCTCCTCCCCTCCCCCCTCTCCTCCCCTCCCCTTCCCCCCTCCCCGGGGTCTCCTGTGCAGAAGCTCTGGGTGAGGAAGGAGATGAGTGGGAGTGGGAAGGGAAGGACTCCTGGAGGAAAGAGGTCTGGAAGCTGCCTGAAGGGCTCCCCTCCTCCTGCCCCCTGGCCTGCTCCTCCAGGGCACGTAGCAATCAGCATTCTGGTGGTGGGAGGGTCTCAGGACTCTGAGCATCCTGTATGAGGGTATATTGACTCCCAGACTACACTTTCCTCCTCTTCCCAGGGTCACCCCCAAAGGCTGTCCTCACCTGGACATGACTGCCTCAGTAGTTGGACAACAGTGACGTTGGTGAGGACAACATCACGTTTTGACATGGCCTAAGGTCTTAAGACCTGGCTGCCTTGGGCCCCTCTGAGATGGTACTGAGGGGTGAGGCTCCCCGGGGCTGGTTATGTCTCCAGAGCCTTCGATGATGTCACATTGTCCAGTGACATCACAGAGGAAGTGGTGTGCAGGCTGGAGACCTTAGCCCGCAGAGGCCTCTGGGAATCTCACACTGAGTATTTCAGGGCCACACTCTGGCATCTAGAGTGGAATCTGCTGGGCTCACACAGCTGTTCATGCTGCTGTCTCCCTTCCTCCCTCCCCTGGTCCACCTGTGCCTTGCTGTCTTGGATCTCTGAGGAGGTTCCCTGGCTCTCCCAGTGTCTGGAAAGGCCTAGGAAGTCCCTCCCAAGTCTCCCCTTGGCTACCTGGGTTCCCAGGGTTTTAGGAGTAGCTCTTCTCACCCAGGCGGAGGAGAGGAAGGAGATACTCTAGGATCCAGAGGTCTGGGAGGACAGCATGGAAACGGCTTCTCCCTGACATGACAGGACAGCCGCACTCCCGAACTCAGCAGCAGGCACAGTTGCCTGCCCAAGATCAAGGCAGTCAACATTCTCATGATGGGGGAGGGGCCCACAAGCCCCAACCAACCCCTAGCTCAGGAGCTGCAGACAGGGAAAGGATGAGTCAGTTTTCCTTCGGGTTGTACACCAAACACTGCTGGGTGATCCCATACCCGTGAATCTATTGGCAGTACGAATCAGTGTGGGCTTCAAAATAGAGACAGATGCACAGATAGTAGGTAGGTAAGTAGGTAGGTAAGTAGGTAGATAGACAGATGATAGATGATAGGTAGATAGGTAGATAGATAGATAAATGATAGATGGTAGATAGATAGATAGATAGATAGATAGATAGATAGATAGATAGATAGATGATAGGAAGGGTACTAGGCTGCAGAGATGGCCCATCCATTAAGAGCACTTGCTGCTCTTATAGCTGATTTGGCTTCAGTCCCCAGCACCCACAGTGGTTTACAACCATCTGTAACTCCAGTTCTAAGGGGATCTATGCCCTCTTCTGGCCTATTCAGATACTACATTCATGTGCTGCACGTACATATATGCAGGCAAAACATATGTAGAGGGACTTTTTTTTTTTTTTTTTTTTGAGATAGGCTTTCTCTGTGTAGTTTTGGTGCCTGTCCTGAAACTCACTCTGTAGACCAGGCTGGCCTTGAACTCCCAGAGATCCACCTGCCTCTGCCTTCCGAGTACTGAGATTAAAGGTGTGTGCCACCACCACCAGGCATAGATGGACTTTTGTGGGGCCCCCAAATCACAGAAAAATGACACAGAGACTTTTAATTGTGAGAGCTTGGCCTTAGCTTAGGCTTGTTTTTAACTAGCTCTTATAACAAATTAACCATATTTTTACATCTACATTCTTCTAAGCACTCGTTACCTCATCTCCATTATATCCATCCTGGTCATCTGGCCTCTGGCTCTGACTCCATCTTTCCTTTTCCCAGAGCTCTCTTTGTCCATAAGTTCCTTTTATACCTCCTGCCTAGCTATTGGCCATTTAGCTCTTTATTAAACCAGTCACAGTGACACAATGTAAAGGAACATTCCGTAACACTCACTATATAAAATAAAAATAACTTAAAAAATGTCCATGAAATTGGTAGAGGGTGGGAGATAGAGGGGATTTGAGAGAAGTGGGGTATAGATAAACGTAATCAAAGTACATTTTATGCATATAAGAAATTCTAAAAAAAATCCCAATCAGTGTACACACACACACACACACACACACACACACACACACAGAGCCAGATGTGGTAGCATGCATCTGTAGTTCTAAAAGCTTGTGAGCCAGCTAGCCTGAACTACACAGCCCTGCAGAACAAGAACCCTTCCTAAACAAGCTCACCTACACACTCTGAAAGGGTGGGACTTTGTCTTATTCACTATGTCCCATTGACCACAAGTGTGTGTGACACTTTTTAAGAATTTTAAATCACATTCATTTGTGATATGTGTGCGTGTGCACACATGTGGTGGCCAGAGGATAACATTTGGGAGTAAGCTCCCTCTTTCTACCCTGTGGGTCTTGGGGATTGAATTCCAAACTCGTCAGGCCTGTTAGCAAATGTCCTACCCAGCTGTGCTGTCTTCAGTCACACGTTTAACTTGGAAGTTACTCACTCCATAAATAAATCATATTTCCCTCCAGATTTTGTTTATTAAGGGAAGAAAATTGCCATGATTCTTTTAACTTTATAATTCGCAACATATATATATATATATATATATATATATATATATATATATATATATAAAGTTCAGATCCCCATTCACCTGTTGAACGGCTCACAGCCCCATATAACTCTAGCTCCAGGATAATTGACACCAGCACTCACATGGGCATACACTCATACTCATACAGAAGTAAGTAAAATTTAAAAATGTATTTGCAAATATAAACAATAAATTATATCCATAAATTAGAAATATTAATACAATAGATTAAAATAATAACTTTTTTAAAGTTTTGGCTTGAGGTTGACATTCAGTGATAGAGCACTTAGCTAGCATGCCTAGTAAGTCATCTCATGTTAAATGTGCGGCCTGTCTGACGTGCACACCTGGTTTTGATTCCTGGCTGGGGGTAGAGGAATAAACGGCATGTTTATTCTGCTCTGCTGTGGCCCCACACTCCAGCCCACACATGCCTTCACGACGACTGCTAACAACTATTCCCAGCCATCTATGCTGTTGAAGAAACGGAGCTGGAGCATGTGTGGACTCAGGGTTGGTGCAGATGTTCAATTGGTCAAAAATGCCGTGTCAACAATCTCAGCACTTGGGAGACTGACACAGGAGGATTTCTGTAAGTTCAAGGCCAGCCTGGACTACATAGTGAGACCCTATATCAAAACAAACAAACAAACAAGGGGCTGGAGAGATGGCTCAGTGGTTAAGAGTGCTTACTACTCTTCCAGAGGACCTGGGTTCGATTCCCAGCACTAACATGGCAGCTCTCAATCTTCTGTAACTCCAGGATCTGAGGTCCTCTTCTGGCTTCCACAGGCCCCAGACACAGACAGACAGACACACAATCAGGCAAAATACCCATGCTTGTAAAATAATAAAATATTAAAACAACCAAACCCATCGCTGCAATACCTAGGAAGCACTGGTAAGGTTGGTGTATAACTTGTGGGAGTTGATCCTCTCCTTCCAACCGTGGGCTCCAGGGAGTGAACTCAGCTCCTCAGGCTTTGCAGCAATCGCCTGTTACCCCTGAGCCAACCCTCAGCTCTCATGTATTTTCTGGTCCCCAGTCCTAAAGCAAGCCCCAAGCCATGTCTTCTTACAACAGCCCATTCTTTGCCTTGTAGTTTTCCTGTATTTAGCACCTACTGATGTCCTGTTCCATGTCACTCTCACTGTGTATTCTGGATGTGCTGTGTCCTCAGGTGTCCCTCAGCCATCTGGGGCAGCACCTGCCACAGACTGGTCCTTCTCCCTCTCCTTTTAAAACAATATTTACTTTATGTATCTGAGAGTTTTGCTTGCATATATGTCTGTGTACTGTGTGCATTCTCGGGCTGAATCCCCTAGATCTGGAATTACAGATGGTCATGAGCCATCCTGTGGGTGCTGGGAACCGAACTCAGGTCCTCTGCAAGAGCAGTCAGTACTCTTAGCCACTGAGCCACCTCTCCAATGTTGTGTGATATTTTGTTTGTGTTCTGACAAAGCTTGCTTGGAGTCAGAGGGCGGAGCTAGCCACTGGTTAACCATAGAGGTCTGGAGGTCTGTACAGAGAGGAGACAGGAAGTGATAAGGCGGGCCAGAGAGAGGTTCTAGGCCTTTTTTGGATGGAGGAACAGTGGAGGTTGGAAGCAACTGGCGATTGCTCTCCTGTTTCTCTGATCCTTCAGGTTTTTACCCCAATATCTGACTCCTGTTTTTTATTGATAAGATTTATTAGATTTACACTTCACTCCAGGTCCTATCTTCTTCTTGAGAACAGATCCCACTATGTCGTTGAAGAGGGCCTCAAGGTTGCTGCGATCCTCTTGCCTGGGTCCTGGGATTACTGTTGCAGGCCCCCATGCCTAGTTTACAAGGCTGGGCTTTCAGGAAGTGTCTAGGAAAGAGCAAGGGGAAAGTGTCCCCTCAAGCCCCAGGCCTTGCTTGCATTTTAGTGACTCACTGTCAGGCACCTTCACCTGCAGGGCCGGTTGACACGCAGCTGTGACCAAGGGGGTGTGGGGCTTTGCTACAGGTACCAGTCACAGTCCTAGAGAGAAGGGTGGAAGGGCCCAGATTCATGCAATGACATAACCTCTTCCAACCCCAAGTCCCCATGGGAGCTCTCCATGGGCTACTACACACAGAGCTCCTGTCTCACAAAACCAAAGCCAGAACCACATCATGTCAAGAACCAGCTGTGGGACAGGAGTCAGCAAGGCTATCTCCTGCTTGGATGGCCCTGAAGAAGTAAACTAAAAATAAATTGGAGGGAGACGGGCATGATCTGTAATTGCAGCAGAGGAAGGAGGGTTATGGGGTCAAGGCCAGCCAGGGCTACAGTGTGAGACCAGCCTGGTTAATTTAGTCTCAAAATAAAACTGTTTTAAAAGGTCTGTGGTGCATGCCTTCACTCTTAGCATTTGGAAGGTAGAAGCAGGCAGATCTCTGGGAGTTTGAGGCCAGCCTAGTCTACATAGTGAGTTCCAAGCCAGCCAGAGCTACAAAGTGAGACCCTGTCTCAAAAAATAAAACTGAATAAAATAAAATATAAAAATGTTTAGGGTATATATAACCTTGTAAACACTTGCCTAGCATGTGTGAGGAAGCAGTATGTGTGGCAGGAGCCATCTAGATGTTACTAGGCGAAGTTTTCCTTGGTCTGGTGGCATATACCCTGTCTTCTCAACCCCTGTGAGGCTCAGGCAGACAGATTAAGAGATCTGTGATAGCCTGAGTACATATAGAGGTCCTGTCTCATAAAACCAAAGCTAGAACCACATCAACCCCCGCCCCATGTGGGTGCAGTGGTTCGTGCCTGTAATCCTAGTACTCGGGATGCTGAGGCAGGAAGATTGCCATGAGTTTGAGGTCAGCCTGGACTACAGTATGAGGTCTTAGGTTAAACAAAACAAAAACGACACATAACTCCCCAGGATCTGACATTAGGAGTAACAGATCCTATTAATGACGAGAGAGGAAAGAGCCAGGAGCTCTTCCCCCAACAAGCTGCTTCAGATCAATGCTGTGGGCCGATCTGCCAAATACCAGGGAATAGATGCCTGCCCTTGGCTAATGGGGTATCTACTTTTCTAACTGTGGCAGACCCTAGCCTGAGCTGGGGAGCCCTAGGCAGTCCCTCTGCAGAGGGGGCCGAGTCGGGCACTCACTGTGACATCCTTGGACAGGCAAACACCTTGTGTGAACATATATTACATACTTCTTTAGGGCACTGTGATGTAAAATGTGATACCCCGAATTCTGAACTTCTTCCACTGGCATCAAAGAACCAGCACAACTGGATTACCAGAGGCTGCTGGCACCAGTTAGGGAGAAAGATGAGATGTCCTGAATCCGTTGGCAAATGGGGACAGAAAGCTGAGAAGAGGGGCTGATGGAGGGAGAGAAGGCTGGAAAAGAAAATTATTGAGTGGTGGTATGTGCCTGCAATCCCAGCACTCAGCCATCAGGAGGATCGAGAATTCAAGGCCAGCCAGCCTCCGACATAGGATGAGTTCCAGGTCATTCTGGGCTATGTGAGACCCTGTCACAACAAAACATAGAAAAGACAGGATACCTTTTATATCTCTCTTAGGGCGGACCAGGGGTCTGATCCCCCACCACACTCTGGCTCACTTCTCTGCCTGGCCTTTGACTCTCCATCATTGAGAGATGCTTCGGGCTGGAGTGTCACGCCCAAGATTGCGTAGGGATCTGCCTTTGTCATTGGAGCGGAAACTGGGTAACAGATCCACTCTGCCGAGTGTCCCAATTAGCCACCCTCTGCTGTCAGAGACAGGGAAGGCAGAGACTCCAGGGTCCCTGGTTCTGGGATGCTTGGTTTGGGGTGTGGCTACTGTTTCTTTAAGGGGACCACCTCATGGCCTGGTTTGAAGTGGAAAACACGTGCTGATTCTCAGCCACACCTGGGCACCCACACGCATAACTCTACCACCAACACTGGTGCACACCCTATGCATTCCTCCATGCCTGACCTTCCCACTGCTACCCCCTCGCTTAGCCTCACTGTTGGCATTAAAACCTAAATATCTTCACCCAACTGTCCCCCACCCACTGGCTCTTGTCTGCCTCCCTCTAAATTACCCCCCAGCTATACACCCTGGGGAAGATCCAGCAGCCACTGCTTACCCTTCCTTCTAATGCTAGACTTCAACCCCAGGCCAGGCTCCAAGGTGCTTCCTTCATAACCAAAGCCAATAGGGCAATGCTTGGGGCTTCAGGTCAGGGCATTGGAGGCTCCAGGGGAGGAAGACAGGAAGAAAAAGGTCCTGGCCCCCAGCCCAGATATTTGAGACAGCTGCTGCTGCACCAGGTCTCGGAGCTTCTCCCCAGGGCTGCTTCAACCGGCTTTTCAGGTACCACTGCGTCCTCTCCCAGTTCATGACAATCAGTCCCCCTGCCCTTGCCTACAGGCTGGGAGGAAAGAGGCCTGGATTCTGTCATGAACATGTGATCCTTGTTTCAAAGTTTGCAGCTCTCCCCATGCAGCTTTGGGGACCCAGGTACCTCTTCCCTCCAGCACCCTGTGAGATGGGCTCAGGCCTGGACTATATATCCCCTTGACTTCCAATCCATCTGTGTGTGCCATCTATGAATACTTACTGAGCCCCAGTTATGTCCCGCAAGTTGGGGCTCTAGCAGTATCCAGCACAAAGGGCCTGTTTGCTGGAAGTGTACAATCTAGAAGGTGAGACACACTATTAAAAACTAAATGCAATTTAAGATTGCAATAATTACTGTAGAAAGAGAAGGATGATGTCACAGGACATAATTGTCATACCTGTAATACCACACTGTGCCTGGGGGTGGTCAGGACGGGCTGGCTTTCTGTGATGCGGCCCTCTGAGCCAGGTGTAGAATGGTGGAGTCAACAAGCTGACACTCTGGCTTCCAGGCATGGGCAAAGCCGTCAGGCAGTAATGAGAGGGCCGTGGGAGGAACTGGAGCAGAGAGGGGGTGGGGGAGGGGACCCCAAGAACAAAATCGGGTAACTCCCTCACCTCCTGGGGTTCTGTCCTCCCCTCTGACTGCTTTCCACTTTTCCAGAATTATCCAGCTGGGCAAGCTGTATGTTTAGATCTCTAGGAGGGCTGACAAGATGGTTAGGTATGGAGGATGCCTGACGGTGGGTTCAAGAGCAAGGAGGATGGCCAGTGGGGGAGAAAGACAAACAGGAGGGGCTGGGCAGGGCAGAACCCTGTACTGGGGTGGAGGGCCTGAGCGGGTCAAAGAGCAAAGATGCTAGGATCTTCTCTATGATTCATCCTGTCTTTCTCCTCTTCCTTTTCATTGCTCAACTCCAAATGTCTTTGGGAAACACCTCCCTGACTGGGAACTAAGTCAGAGTCTCACAGGGGCAATTGAGTCATGGTGGGTGGAGAAGAGGGAGGGAAGCAAAGGATAAATAGCGGCCTCGCTCCCCCGGCTCCTCTCTGCATCCTCCCCGCCTTCCCAACAACATGGATCTCGCCGATTTGCTCAGGTCCTGCTGCCTCCTACTGCTCCTGGGGGCTCTGCCTGCATGGGCCGCCCATGATGATCCCATTGAGAAGGTCATAGAAGGGTTCAGCCGAGGGCTGAGCAATGCGGAGAGAGAGGTGGGCAAGGCCCTGGAAGGCATCAATAATGGGATCACGCAAGCTGGAAGGGAAGTGGAGAAAGTTTTTGATGGACTTAGCCACATGGGGAGCCAGGCCGGCAAGGAGTTGGACCATGGCTTGGACAAGGTAGCCCATGGCATCAACAATGGCGTCGGACACGCAGGAAGGGAAGCAGAGAAGTTAACCCATGGGGTCAACCACGCCGCTGGACAGGTTGGGAAGGAGACAGACAACATCATCCATCATGGGGTCCACCACGGGGTCAACCAGGCGGGCAATGAAGCAGGGAGGTTTGCTCAGGGAGGCCACCATGCTCTTGGTCAGGGTGGGAAAGAGGCAGAGAAGTTTGGTCAGGGGGCCCACCATGCTCTTGGTCAGGGTGGGAAAGAGGCAGAGAAGTTTGGTCAGGGGGCCCACCATGCTCTTGGTCAGGCTGAGAAAGAGGCAGAGAAGTTTGGTCAGGGGGCCCACCATGCTCTTGGTCAGGGTGGGAAAGAGGCAGAGAAGTTTGGTCAGGGGGCCCACCATGCTCTTGGTCAGGGTGGGAAAGAGGCAGAGAAGTTTGGTCAGGGGGCCCACCATGCTCTTGGTCAGGGTGGGAAAGAGGCAGAGAAGTTTGGTCAGGGGGCCCACCATGCTCTTGGTCAGGGTGGGAAAGAGGCAGAGAAGTTTGGTCAGGGGGCCCACCATGCTCTTGGTCAGGGTGGGAAAGAGGCAGAGAAGTTTGGTCAGGGGGCCCACCATGCTCTTGGTCAGGCTGAGAAAGAGGCAGGGAGGTTTGGTCAGGGGGCCCACAATGCCTTTGGTCAGCCTGGGAGAGAGGCAGAGAAATTTGGTCAGGATGGTCACCATGCATTTGGTCAGCCTTCGAAAGAAGTAGAGAAATTTGGTCAGGGTGTTCACCATGCCTTTGGTCAACCTGGGAGAGAGGCAGAGAAATTTGGTCAGGGTGTTCACAATGCCTTTGGTCAGGCTGGGAGAGAGGCAGAGAAATTTGGTCAGGGTGTTCACAATGCCTTTGGTCAGGCTGGGAAGGAGGGAGGGAGGGTGGTACAGGGGGCCAATCAGGGACTGAGCCATGCTGCAATGGAGGCACAGCAGTTTGGCCATGGCCATGGCCATGGTTACTATGCGGCAGGGCAAGCTTGGCAAGAGGGAGACAAAGTAATGCAGCCTGGAGTCAACCAGGCTGGGAAGGAGATAGAGAAGTTTGGCCAGGGTGCCCACCATACCACTGATCAGGCTAGAAAGGAGGCCGAGAAAGTGGTTCAAGGGGTCCACACCGGGGTCAACCAGGCTGAGAAGGAGGCAGAGAAAGCTGGCCAAGGGGTCAGCTATGCTGCTGGCCAGGCTGGAAAGGAAGCGGAGAAGCTTGGCCAAGGTGTCCACCATGCTGCTGGCCAGGCCTGGAAGGAAATGGACAGGTGGCAGCAAGATGTTCATAATGGGGTCAACCAAGCCAGCAAGGAGGCCAACCAGCTGCTGAATGTAGGTGAACAGAGGTGGGGAACCTGGGGAGAAGGGGGTTGTGGGAGGGAAGAGGCTAAACCCTTGGGAAGCCATAACACTGGGCTCTCTTCCTTCCACCTCTATTACTACAGAGCTGGTGGCCAGCTGGTCAGATGGACTAAACCATCTTGTCTGCAAAGCTTCACCTGAGACAAGGTGGAAGGGACTCAGTCCCATTATCGGGGAGCTGTCTTCCTAGATGAGGGGCCCTAACCTGTCCCCTCTCCTGGAACCAGGAAATAGTTCTGAGCTGAGACACTGTACAAACAGGTAGAGACTGAGGAACCCCAGAGCCTGAGGAGGCCCTTTGGCGACAGGCTCTGAGGTGTTGCATCCTTGTAACAAGCCTCTGAGCTGGTTGGGATGAGGGTGCTGACTCTGACATTCAGAGAAGGAGACTAAGACTCAGAGAGGCCAAGGGGACTCACCAAGGTCTCATGACAAGTGCCCAGTGGATAAGGTGGTTGTCTTCCTTTGCCTTCCAGATTGGGTAGCGGGGAGTGTTTGGGGAACTCTCTTACCCATTTGTAGAGGGAACAGATGCTGGAGGTCATGCAAGCAGCAACAGAGCGGGCCGAGGAGGACTGGGGACCAGTACCAGGCCGACCTTGGCACGGCCCAGTTCCCAGTTCTCCACGCTCCAGGGGCAGTCATTGAGATCAGCAAGCTGGGACACCTTCCTGAGGATGGGTCCAGGTCTCAGAGCCCAGAGTCACATCTGCTGCTTGGAGGGAGCCATGGAGGGCTGGGCTGGGGAAGAGAGGACTAGAGAGAGTCCTGGGTGAAGAACAAGACCCTGAGTGGGACACCCAAGTGGAGGCTGGGAGAGGGGCAAGAGCAGTTGAAGGTGGGGTGCAACTGGGGAAGCTATGCTGAGTGGCAGGCCCACTGCAATCAAGAGTGGGGATGAACTGAATTAGGCTGGAGGCTAGACTGTAGAAAAGTGATTAAAAATCAGGCTGAGGGTGAATGGTGGTGTTTGTGTGGGTCTTTTGAGGGCTCCTTCTCCAAGATGGAAACATTTCTCTAACACTGAATTTAAGGAGAGCTTGGGTGAGGCAGGACAACAAGAGACAGACATCCTTCCTGGAGTCCTGTCCACCTCTCCCAATCGGCTTAGCAGCTGGGGCTCTGGGTTGTTTTCAGGACAGTGAGTAAGGAACCCAGAAGATCAGCCTGGGCTCCTACCCCAGACCCAGACGTCTTACAAGGGGCCCGGTTTCTGAGGAAAAGGAATGAGGGAGACCCTCACGGGTCAAGGGGTGGTAGTGATGATCTGGGTTTTGTCTTTAGGGCACTCATCAAGGCGGGTACACAAGCCAACACGGAGGGGCCGCAACCACTACAGTAGTATCTGGGGTGAGTCTCTGGGTGTAACATGGGTTTGGAGCCGGGAGAGGGGAGTGGAGGCTACTTGGGGCTTTCCCAAGGACAATGGTTGATTGAAGGTCAGTGACTGGCTTTGTCCTTGAATTCCAGGCCTCAGTCAACAAGCCATTTATCAGCTTCCCAGCTCTATGGAGGGTGAGTGCCCACATGATCCCCACTCCCCACCCTTCAACCTGGAATTCCCTTTCTATAGCTTTCTTGCAGTCAGCGTCCTTTGGGACAGACTCAGTCTCTGTAGAGACCATCCAACCTGTTCTCCTGGCTCTGCTCTGGCCTTTCATCACCTACTTGCAGCTTTTGGGTACTTTCCAGTCCCAACAAACAAACATAAGCTGACAGAAATCACCTCCAGGGCACTGGAGCATCTGGGAGCCAGGGAGGGTGGGGATGCTGAAACCATTCCTCACGTGCCCATCTGGGCTCCCTGTCATCTCTCCTCCCATTCCCAGTGACTAGCTGCCTCTCCTTCGTACTAGCCCTCCTGTGAATGCCTTTGCTACCCTTCCCTGTTGCTTTGCATAGGTGAGCTGAGGAGTGGTAATTTGGCTTGGCAGGTAGCTTCCTTCTAGGTTGAGAGTATAGAGGTCCCTGTGGGATTCGGGTCCTTAGTCTAGGTCCACAGACTTGCTTTGTCTTTTTAAAAAACATTTGAAATTGTGTGTGTGTGTGTGTGTGTGTGTGTGTGTGTGTGTGTGTGTGTCCACTGTGTGTTGGATCCCTTAGAGCTGGAGTTACAGGTGTTTGTGAGCTGCCTAATGTGGGTGCTGGGATCCAAACTCTGGTCTTCATGATTGAGCAGAAACTGCTATTAATTGCTTCCTGAGCTTAGGGCCCAGGGCCCAGGGTGAGTGACAACCCTAACTTGGAGTGGCAGAAAATCCTCTGAGGTGAAACACCCAGGACTTCTGTAGAGTACCTTCCCCTGCAACCCATCTCCCCGGGAGAGCTGGTTCCCCATTATTCCAAGATAAACAGCTGGTCTCCCTATCATGTCTCCAGAGTGGAACAGGGGCCAGATCTCAGTCCCCTAGTGGCCACGCAACTTTATTTACCCTCCTCTCCTCTCTTCCAGAGCATCGCCGCCATCATGCCCTAAACTGATGCCCAGGCACCAGAACGTTGTTCCTGCTGTCACATCAGCTGAAATAGCCTGGAGGAGCTGGGGGTGGGGGAGAGCTTCCGGGTGTCCTTAAGGGGGCTGCTTTGAGCTTTGTGAATAAACACGAACACACTGTCCTTTCTCATCATGGTTGACTGTGCTCCCTAGAGAGAGAGGAACAGGGTTGGGGTGGGGGGCTCGCACTGTCTCTTGTCACTTGGTGTAAGGAGCTGGAAATTTACCATACAGGATGGAAATTGCCGGGGACTTCAGGCTGACTGGCTTGAAGAGAGCAGTGCCTCCCAGAGTCGAGGCACACTTGGCAGTGTTTGTGCTCAGCACTGGGAAAGGCAGCTGGGAAGGAATCAGCCGCCAGTGGGGTGTGTGGTACGCAGGAAGAGACAATGGTGGCTTGTGTCCTTTGCGCAATAAAGACATGCTGGGTGCTTTCCAGGCATGATCTCACCGAACCCTCCGACTGCCCAATTAGGTAAAAGTTCTGTTATCCCCAGGTAGGAAGGAGTTTCATGGAGGCTTGCACTGTTGGAAAACACATGGGCAGTTAGTGGAGGGAAAGGAAGAGCCTTGGTGCTGCAAACCCTCTCTTGTTTGGCTGGAGAGGGGGAGGCAGGGGACTGCGAAACGACTGGACAAGTGGAAGACGGAAGCTCAGGTGGGAGGTTCTCGGACAGATGGACAAGCCTCTTCAGTGATGTGGGTAGAGACACAGAAATCCCAGGGTTCAGGAGCTGCTCAGGCACAGAGGGGTAACAAGTGCCAACCACAAGGGCTGTGCAAAGCCTCCTCGTGCCCACTTGTCTCACAAGCTAGCACAGATGTCTGTATTACCCTCGTTGGTGCACGGAGATTCCTCAGGGCAAGGGCACACTAGGGGTCATTCACCAGAAGCTATAGGCCTGCATCTGGGCACTACTGAACTCCACATGGGATGCTACCTCACATTTTCATGGTCTCCCTGTGGCTTCCCAAATCCCAGCCAGGGCACTAGGAGAGCTGCAGTGTCCGGGAAGCTGCCTGTAGGATTTCCCCTCCAGTGTCAAGCAGGTGGGGGTGTCTACAGGCAAAGACTGCAGTCTGTTTCCAGTTCCCCAATTCCAGCCTTTGAACTAAGACAGGGCCCTTGCCCTGGGGAATTTGTCTTTGCTGGGGAGACCATGAAAAGCCTAGGCTAGACTGTAGCTCAGTCACAGAGTGCTTGCCAACAGGGGACAACCCCTTAAAACACACACATGCACACACAAAACAAAACAAACCACCAAACAAACCCCCAAAAACAAAACAACAAAAAAATGACACCCTAGGGCACAGAGGAGCCTTTATTTGCACAATAAAAGCAACATTCCAGATAGTGCCCTCTACCCCTCTTATTTTGTAGAGGTGGTACACTCCTTTAATCTCAGTACTTTAGAGGCAGAGGCAGGTGGATCTCTGAGTTTGAGGCCAGCCTGGTCTACAGAGTGAGTTCCAAGCCAGCCAGGGAGACCCCATCTTAATTTTTTTAAAGAGTACTATAACTTCATAACATCTGAAACACTCTGAAAATGTTTTAGACAAAAAAAATTAAAAATGTTTTACAACAGACAGTTGTGATTTCTATGCTCAGATCCCCCCATTATCATCTTGAGCTTGCTTGAACACTCACCTGTCCGTCTAGCCTCAGAAGAACCTTTTAAAAAACATGTATTTATTTATTTACTTTGCATGTGCATGTGTGTGGGCCTGCACATGCCACAGTACGTGTGTGGAGGTCAGAGGACAACTTGTAGGAGTGTGCTGTCTCCTTCCACTATGTAGGCCTCAGACTCGAACTCAGCTCCTCAGGCTTGGCTGCAGTCTCCTTCAGGTGCTGAGACATCCTGCTTATTATTATTATTTCATTAGTATTAGTATTGTTTTGTTTTCAAGACAGAGTTTCTCTGTGTAGCTTTTGGAGCCTTGTCCTGGAACTCACTCTGTAGACCAGGCTGGCCTCAAACTCAGAGATCCACCTGCCTCTGCCTCCCAAGTGCTGAGATTAAAGGATTACTATTGTTGCTATCATTATTACTATTACTATTGTTATTTTAATAGGCTCTCCCATTTATACCAGATTGGCCTCAAACTCTCAATCCTTGCCAGGAGTAGTGGTGCACACTTATCATCCCAGTGCTCAGGGGACAGGGGCAGGAGGATCCGGGCGAGCCCAAGGCCAGCTGGGACTATATGGCTCATGCTTGTCTCAAATCAACAAGGATCATGGTAACAACAGCAAAACAACAAAAACTCGATCACTCTGCTTCTACGTCCTGATTGCCAGAATCACAGGCATGTGCCGTCATCAGCATGTTCTTTTTTTAGTGCATTTCAGAGTATATTGTGGACATCTGTGGGCTGCACTTTGGTAACTAGAACCATGTCAGACACTTGGTGACACTGTGTGGACTCACAGTGATGGACCAGTCCCTTCTGGGAGGTGTCCTACAACGCTTGCTTTCCAAGGGCAATATTCTTTTACCAAGTAAAAGCTTGCATTGGCTGTTTTTTAAATTGCATTTAGTTATTTATGTATTTATGCATTTATGTATTTGTGTGTGTGTGTGTGTGTGCACTGGAGGCGTGACCAGTGTGTAGAAGAAATCAGAGGATGACTTTGTAAGAGATGATTCCCTGGGATTTTACTCAGGTTTGGCTTTCCTTATCCACTGAGCCATCTTGCCAGTCCGTGCATCGACTATTTCCTTTTTTTTTTTTTTAAAAAAGTTTACTTATTTTATGTGCGTCAATGTTTTATCTGTATGTATATCTGTGTGTCTGTGCATCGACTATTTCCTTTTTTAAAAAAATAGTTTACTGATTTTACGTGCATCAGTGTTTTATCTGTATGTATTTCTGTGTGAGGCATCAAGTGCTCTGGAACTGGAGTTACGGACAGTTGTGAGGCACCATGTGGGTGCTGGGAATTGAACCTGAGTCCTCTGGAAGAGCAGCCAGTGCTCTTGACCACTGAGCCATCTCTCCTGCCCTTACACCAGCTACTTCTTATGCACATTTTCTCACGTGGTTTGCTGGCAGAGTAGCCCTGAGGTTACCAAAGGGACTGGAAGATGATCCCTGGTGACTCACAGGCCCCTCTCTTTCCTGGGAGGGGGAGGAGTTTGCTGCCCTCTGCTGGAATGTTTCCTCCTCATCCTTCAGGTTACAGCTGCCTTGACCATCCTACCTGATGACTAGTCTCCAGTTGCCATCCTCTCTCATGACACCCTGATCTTGTCCTTCATGGTGCCTGTGGCAATTCATAATTATACCACAAATGTTCCTAGTTTAACACGCATCTCCCCTTTGAGGAGTGGTGAGGTCAAGACCAGACCCAAATGTCTGCCCCATGAGCTAACTGGGGCCAGGCCATGAGATGAGAGTAAGGGAGAGACACTCTGCTGGGAAGGGTGGGTCTAGGGAGACAGAGGATGGGCCAGTTTCTTCATATGCCTAAGAACAGGGTGAGGAATTTGGGTGGGACCTCACTACTCACTGCCACCTTTATGGGTCCTTATTGGGTCTGTGCTAAGCACTTTACAGACATGATTCATTGTGTCTTCACAAGTACCCGGAGGCAGATACCCTCATTATCCCCCTCACAGATGATGGAGAAGAGGCTCGGAGGGAGAGATCTGCCTAAGGCCACCCAGGGGAGCCCTTGCTGAGGCCACCCAGGGGAGCCCTTCCTGAGGCCACCCAGGGGAGCCCTTCCTAAGGCCACCCAGGGGAGCCCTTCCTAAGGCCACCCAGGGAGCCTTT